TACTTACCTGGCCAATGTTCCCATTGATGAAGATGTTGCTGCAATTGAGATCTCTGTGAATAATGCAAGGGTCGTGTGTATGGAGATACTCCAAGCCCTCAAGTACCTGCTTTGACCACTTCTTCAAAGCCTTAATGGACACATGGCGATGCTTCTTCCTGTAAGTTCTCAAGTTTCCTGATGTGCAGACCTCAGTGATAAAATTTAACGTGTTTCGCTCTTGATCCCTCCAAACACTGTAACAAACAATGATGTACTTGTTTTTCAATGTTCTCAGCAGCTGCACCTCGGATTGAAGCCTATTGATCAGCACAGGATCTTCACTAAAGTTAGTCAGTTTCACTTGATTCCAGGCCACCTCTATACCTTCCTCCTGATCAAATGCCCTGTAAACCTTCTTCACAGCACCACTACCGAGCAAATCATTGTAGCGGCCAAAGCGCCCAGTGGGATCAACCTCAACAAATGGTTCAACCTCTCGATCAGACATATTGGGACTAGCAGCCGGCATCTTCAAATATTAGAATCATGAGATACTATGTACATATTATGCTTACAAAAAACTATTATCTAAACAGAGTCCACCAGAAATAGTTCAATCTCAAAGAACAGAATATGAGTAAAACGCTGATTAAATTAAAACTAAATCCAATAGTGGTAATTTAAACGAGAAAAAAAAAACTGTGATGCTGATACGACATGTCTAATAATCAGAAGTACAAAGCAGTTACAATTGGTCAGAAACATGTCCAAGATTGAAGCATGGATCGTACGGAAGGATAGGTGGTCAAAATTTCAATTAATTTGAGATTGCAATGTAAAAAGAAAAAGAAAAACAGCATGAATAGGAAGAAATAAATAAAATATTACATAATAACCAATATAAATTGCCTTCACCACAAAATCAATGTAATTGGGAAAACGAAATGTCCAAATATCAATGAGAAATAATTAGAGCTTGAACGAAGGGACTGAGATATACATCATTAGCGCAATTGTGATACATCAATATCCTTAATTTAGCAGATATTAAGGATATTGATGCAATATAACAACCTGATTTAAACCTAAATTCATAAGGCTGCTAATTGAAGCAAACAAAGAAATTTTTTTTTTTAAAAAAAAAAGGGTGCTAAATCTGGAAGCAAAATGAATTTTCACTTTAGAAAAGAGAATAAGATTGGAATAATTGATTAAAATTGAAAAGAAAAACAAGAAATGCAAAGTCAAGTGGAGAGAGAAAGATTAATAAAAGAGTAGGAAATTAAGCTATCAGATTTGGAAACGGAATTCGAAGATTAAGCGGAAATTAAAAAATAAAAAATAAAAAGAAACATAACAAAGAAAGAGTTGAAAATTCGAAGGTTAGATGACTCTCGAATTCGTAGATAGGGTTTCCATAGGGTTTCCTCCACATCGAATCCATGCCATCGCCATGCATGCAAGCATCTTTAATAATTAATACATACATATAGAGATATACCATACTAAGAATTTTGAAATGCATTTTTAAAGAGAAAGGAAAAGGGGAGAAAGCGAGCGGAAATTACCTCGATAAGAGAGGAAAACAAAAGAAAGGCTAGGGCTAGGTAACTTTTGTTTGGGACTGAGAGCTATGAGAGAAGCACAGGGTATGACTATGAGAGAGAAACGGAAAGGCCGTTGCTCCGAGGTGTGGCTTTGAGGAAGCGGGGACTCGGCGGGGGCTATTTATACTTGCCGCGTCTTACATTTTAGTTTATTTTATGTTATTTTTTTAAACGACGGCGTTGAACGGCGAAAAAACTGAGAAAAGCAAATAGAAACACGTGCTGTTTTGGGCGCGTTCTGAACCACTTTTCCATATATATAAATATATAAATATATATATATATATATATATAGAGCACCTCAATTTTGTTGTATTTTGATAGCACAGAATACAATTTTCTCTTTGTATTTCAAATTGTCCTTTTATCTTTTTCAATTAAAAAATAGCTTTGAATTAAGCTCCATTTTGTTTAAATACACATTACATAGCCAATGAATGACTTGACTCGTGGTACAGAAATCTTTAGACTATTTGATACCTTGGCATTCCGATTATTCAGATTTTGATGTTTTAAAGCTTCATTGCAATTTCAAAATGAATTTTTAGTGTACTGTAGACATCCTCCTAAGGTCGAAATTGTCCAATCCAATCTACTTAGAAGGGTTTTTAAATCTGACCACTTTCAGCTTTCCCGCTTGGTAGTCACGGGATCAACTCAACTCGTCCATGCAAATATTAGCTGGACTTATAGAAAGAGCAGAGTTGTCGTCCTAGTCCGTCCCAACTGTCGAAAGCTTGCAGCTACATTAGTATCCACCCGCACTCGTGAAGAAAAAGATAGGTCATTGAAACATGCATGGAACCATCTTTGAAGAAAACACCGTCTTACATGTAAATCCCGTGTCTGAATCACCAACAGAGTACACTAAATCTCAACATCATGGGAAATACGGCGCATTGAAATCTTCCTACAACTGCTAGAATTGTTAATTTATTTACATCATCAGAACCTGGCTCTGATTCTGAATCTTTGAGTTGGCCCAAGGTACATCACCTTTGCCTTTGGCCTCCTAATTAAGCATACAGTAGAATTGCATGGGAGAGAAAAGAACAACAGTAAAGAAGAGAAGAAGATGCATCAGTTTTGATGCGCTATTATAATTCGTAGTACAATTGCAGTTAAATATTTCACGGGAAAACTAGGGACTTCCCCTGTCTTTTGTTAGGTGCAAGTGACTAAATGGACACCTCAAGAAAGCTCCATGGAACCTAGAACGCCAAAAGTTTATGAGAAGTGATGACTTAGGGTGAGCAAATTACATTAAGAAAAGCTTAAGATAAAATGTAACGGCATCATTACACTCTTTTTAAAAGATTTAACTTAATAGAGTATACAATATTCGATATCATTATCTCTTTTTAAAAGATTTAACTTAATAAAGTGTGTAATGTTCATATTTATAAACTTTTTGAGATTTTTTATATGTTCGATGTGAGATTAAAGTATTTTGTCTATTTCTTTTAAAATATTTGACGTAACATTCTCTTTCATCTAATACAGCGATGTTCATATAATTGACAGTCACCTTATCTATTTTTATTTTTAAAGTATTTAAATTTGATTAATTCAAAATTGAGTCTATTTTGAAACTACTTTATCATGAGATATTACTCCTAAAAGACTAATTTGATAAAATGCGTACAGTCCACATTTACAAACTTTCTAAACTTCCCTCTCTACCGGATGTGCGATCTAAACACCATATCTACCTTTGAGACCAAGTTGGCTCTTAATCGAAGCTTTCCAATTCAAGGCGTTCAAAGACGTGAGATAGACCAAGTCAAAAGTCTCACCTCTGAGGGTTTGAAGCCCGAAATACATAAAGATTATCTAATTAAAAATGTAGCTATTGTACACCTAGATATACGGATGAATATTAACAACTGAAAAACTGGATCTAGATGGCTATCAACTTAATTATACCTTACCAACTTGTCCAAGTAAATGTTCCGAGATTTTGCTACTAATTGCTTACAATTTTTGACTGCAAATTAATTCATTTGAAACGAATGACGCTTCTGATTCAGAAGATGGAAGATGGAGCTCAAAAAAAAAAAAAAAAACCAAAGAGAATAAAAACTAAGGTGAAAGCAAGATTAACTGCAAATCACTGACAGCATTTCTACTGAATACCAGCTGATGATATCGAAGTGGCAGATCATAATAAGAGAACAAATCCAAAGCCTAACACAATCAAGGCGAAAATACTCAATAGAAGAGCAACCAACTAGCATCACAGCCAATCCGTATGGCTTAAGGAATTTTCTCCATTTTGGTGAAAAAATAGAAACAAAGCAAATCCTCATCGTTTGCATAATGGACCACATGGGTTAAGGAATTTTCCCAACTCATACTATATCTTGTTATACTTCCAGTTCGTTGAACATACTTCAAATACATATTTCACTATATAAAGCTTCCATATCCATTAGTTATAGACTTAAATAAGTAGAAGCTCCGACGTGGAGTGACGTTCAAGTAAAAACAAATGACTTACTAAATAGAGCAGAAGGGATTCACCAGGTTCATGTGAGTATGCATATGCTCACCCAGGGGGTGTGTGGGGGAGGGTAGACGCTACTGTAAGAGCCTCAACGCTAATCCCAAAATACCTACGGAGCTTCTAATAACTAATAGAAGTGAAGTTTTTCAAACCAGTTTCCGTCTCTGGACAAACTAGGGCCCTAAAGAACAATCTGAAAGCAGCACTGTGGTCTATTGGAGACATGCCACAGGGTTATCAAGCTCTGTTCTGAAAACATTCAAAAACTTTACCATATAATTACAAGCACATACAAGAGAACCCTATAGTTCTGCAAAAGGAATTTGACACGTTAATACCATTGCAGGTTACTTAACACCTTGGTTAGAAACTTTATAATTACTAAAAGGGAAATAGAAAGGAATAACTATACAACTAATCAGTTACAACAACCATTATCACAGAGGATTATAAATCTCTCTTACAGAAGGTGACATAGAACCATGCCTCGTTCCTTCTGAACCTTGAAACACTTCTCACACTTTTAGGAGACTAGCCCCCATAATTAAGCAAACTTGGGCCCTAATAATAACATCAAGAGCATTGTGCTAGCACAGAAAACGCCTCCTTGGCCCTTGCCTCCTTAAACAAAAGGACAAGTTATATGGTGCTTTCCCGGATAGGTCATATGGCACTTTTCAGGATACTCAAATAAATACATATACATCTTCATCACACGAGATGCTATTCTGATCTCACAGATGAAAAACATGCACATAGAGCATAGGCACATTCATCTCCCTTAGACCCTTCGTTGAATGTATTTATACAAAGCCTACAACATATCTCAAAAATTCAGAGAACTTGATGGGGAGAGAGAGAGGGAGGAGTGCATGAAAACACCAACATCAGCATTAGAATCAGCATTACAAAACTAAATTGCAACATCTTTAATATGCAAACCATGCTATATTCATTTAAAAACCAAAATTATTGAGATAATGACAATCATCTGAAATGGTGCATTTACCCATTCAAAAACAGATGGGTTTTCTCAAGGACTATGGTATAAACAAGCCAGTATTGACCCATGGTACCATTGATCAGTTAAGACAACTAATACCATGGAGGATTAGAACCCTCCCTTACAGAAGGTGACCTGGAATCCATGCTGCCATCCCTTCCAAACCTTGAAACACTTCTTACACTTTTAGGAGTAGACACACCAGGACTTGCACCTCGGTAGCTGGCACGAAGGGTTTCATCCACAGAAGAAGAGGATTTTGCAATTGCGTTTCTTACAAACTTCTGGGCTGCAGGAGAAAGTGTTCGTACACTTGGACTAGCACTGCCCCCTCTATAAGGTGATGGCAATGGTGGCTTCTTAAAAATCTTTGACCTCTCTCTCAATTTCCGAGCAGCTTCCCTGGATAAGGAGTGTGCCTTCACATCTCTGGCAGGTGGACAAGGAATCTTAAAATGAGGCCCATCACCACTGCCACCAATATCAATTGGTGTATCCTCAGGCTCCAACCTTAAAGGTGTCCCTTCAATTTCACCCCATGTAATAAAAGGGGATTCATCAACACCCGGTGCAGGTGATGGTGTCTTTACAAAACTATAACCATTCTCCGCTTTCTTCCCAGATTCCACATAAAACTGATTTGGGGTCTTCCTCAAATCGTCCAGATCATACTTTTTGCCCTTATCCCCATCCCTATCTGACATAGGCATTGGTGTTGCACCTGCCACAGGAGTATAAAGCACCGCCAAGGATCCATCATCTTTCGGCCTAGAATCCATCACTTTACCATGAAAACGTGTGTTCCCACGATTAATTTCCTTTGTCAAGCCCTTCAATCTTACTGCTCGTTCCTCCTCAGTCAATGGAGCCTCACCCCGATCAGCTGGATGATACATTAACAAATTCTTGGCTATATACTTCCACCCTTCCAACGTACTTGTTGGCTGATCAGACGTCCCATATCCATCTGTAATCCTATCTCTCTTCACATCCTCAATTGATTTAACATCCTTGTCCCCCATTTCTCCCTGCGTCAAGTACCCATGCTTCTCCTTCTTCTTCCTATTAACCTTCTCTAAAATCTTGGAAAAACTATCGTTATCCTCACTGGTATACCTCCTTAAAAACTCGTCTAAGGACAAGTTCGTATCAATCTCACCCTCGCTTTCCCTACAATCACCCTCACCGGATAATTCCCTACCCAAAACACCTGGGGTTTTGGGGGTTTTACCATCTAATTCATCAAAAGGAGTAAAATTTCTCATAAATGTAGAACCAGGGGTTAGAGTTTGACCTCTACCCTCGGAATTGACATTATTTACCTTTCTGCCACGGCGTTCGATGATCTTCAACTGGGCATCACGGATTTGAATCGGATCGCCTGTCTTGATGGCTTCGAGCCAATCGAGTCGGTCCCGGAGCTTGGAAATATCAGGGAAAAAATCGCGTTCGATGATCTTCTCGATGGCGGCGACGTAGGTGTCCTCGTCGAGGACTCGCGCGCGTTTTCTGCTAGGGTTTTTTGGAGTGATCGAAGAAGCAGCATCGGGAGTTTGGAGAGAGTTGTCGGAATATGGAGATGGTGACGGTGATGAAACGTGGCGGGGAGAGTGGCCTGGAGAGAGAAGCATGGCTCCTAAGAAATTAGGGATTTCAGATAATTGAATTTGATTTCACAGCTTTCTAATCCTGTTGGCGTCCGTCGCAAAGGAAAGTAATTGGGTCCTTTTGTGGCCGTGCATCAATTATTAATTTATATTTTATAATTCCAAATATATTCATGGACAGACCATCGACGGTCCAAGAATTTAAATTTTATAGACAATGGTAGAGTTGTCACGTACCAGTTAAGAAATATTTTTTAAAAAATTAATTAATTTGATAAATAAAATATATGTCTCAATATTTTAATTCATTGTAAAATTTAAAACTCTACTAACTAACAATACATAAAAATATTAATAATTATAGATTTATATTTTTTGAAAAACAAAAATCAATAGGAATAGTTTGGCTGGTATTATTTTTCACTTTTTGCTGTTAAAAAATAAAAGACAAGCAAGAAAACGTGTTCGATAAGAAAAGTAAACAATATTTTTTTTGAAGAATTGTATAAAAACGTAGTATAATTGTTTTATATAATAAAATGCATGATTTTAATTTTTTATAATTACCTTATTTATTTTTGAACCTTATGTTACATTTTAATTTTTTATTCATTTTTAATCAATTATATTATATTTTTTATATTTTGTTTCCCTTTTATAATAACTTTTGAAAAAAAAATGTAGTCAAAGTACCTCACAAGTCTTTGTGCTATATTGCTTTCGTCTTTCTATCCAAAAATGAATTAATTTAATCTATGTATTTTGACATCTTGTGTAATTGAGTTTTTTAATTTAATTTATTTAAATAAATTATTAATATTATTAACGTGTCAAATGATATTGACATAATATTGATGTATAAGATGATGCAGACATGTTGTTAACATGTTAAACATAAAACGTTTTTGGTTAAAAAAAAAAGCTTCCCACCTTCCCTTTTTCCTTTTTTTTTTTTCTTTTTACTTAGCCATCATCCACCTTTTCTTTTTTTTTTCTTTTTTCTTCTTTTTCTCTCAATTTCTTTCTTTTTCTTCTTCTTTTGCCGTCAACAACCTTCTCCTTGCTACCGTCACTAGCCTCCTCTTTCTTTTTCCTTTTCTTTGTCTTGCTTCTCCTTCATTCTCTTTTTTTCTTGCTTTCTTTCTTTCTTTTTCTTCTCTTTTATGTTTAATAAATTATAATTAATCCAAGATGTAATATAGTAGAAATTTTTAACATACTAAGATCTCACCAAAATTTTTATGCCATTAAGAAATGCCTCATCAACTTTTTTGATCCATTAGTTTTCCCTAGATTTTTTTCTAAGCCGAGCCTGTCTCATATTGGACTGTATTCCTTCTTGTTGTACTAGTGGATGACTCATTATTGGTAACTTTGCTAGAGACATTGTCTCTTGAATGTTTTCCAAGTGAACATCATCATCAACATTCAACTTATTGAATGCTTTGGAAGCTACCTTTGTTGCTGGAAATGTAGCTTCCTCTGTTCTCCACTATATCAACGAGTGATTCTACTTCTTTAGTTGCCTTAAACTTTGCGAATTGATCAAAGTGAGGGAAAGGCTTGCTTCTAAGTCTTGTAGTAACTTGGTGACTTTGCATTTCAATTCAAAATATTAATAAAAAGAAGAAAATTTGTTGACATCAATAAACAAGCAAATTTTTTTGCTACTCATATTCATTTCCCTTAACTAATGTATTCCAAACATCAAGACCACATGTGATACGTTTGTTGACATCATACTAACTAAAGCTAGAAGCATAATGAACTAGCATGTCAACAACTTCTTTATATTGTGTTTTCAACAATTTCATTATGGATTATATACATGGATGCCCCTAATTTTGCAATTAAAGATCTTTTAACCCATCCATTTCTCAATTTGTTGTAAATAACTAGCCTTAAAAGTCCCACTCTGTACTCTGACCTCCTTCATTCACAAGATCCATGCAACATTCAATTAAGGTTGCATCTTCAATAAGGGTCCATTGATTGGTGGATCATTTGGTTGTCTTCCCCAATCATTGAGATGATGCACTTTCCATTTTCAAGCAAAAAACGAGGTATAGAAAGATTTCAACAACAAATATATAATATATAATAAGTAAATGAAAATTTATTTTTGATAAACTAGGAGAAAAGGAATCTAAACAAAAATAATAAAGATAAAAAAAATGTCTCAATCCATTGGAATCAATAAAGGAAAGTTTGAGTTGTAACAAATAAGTGTATCGTTACATGATGTTACAAAATAAATATAAAAAAGCAATCAAGGCAAGCTTTAGTGCATACAAAGATTATTGACCCAAATACAAAAGTTAAGTTTAATTTCTAGAAACTAGCCAATCATTCCATATTTGTGCGCCAAGTTCATTTTTCCAATAGTCTAAGCATTTGAGGTCTTATTAATCTATCAAATGATATCTGCATATTTCATTGCTTATGAATGATTCCGTGTATCCTTTATCCATCTCAACCTCTAGTGGATCACATCTCATCTCCCGTCTAATGTGATTGTGTAACAAAACACAAACAGAGATAATTATGCATATTGTTTTCATTGGATATCAAAATCTCTCCTTAAGTATTACTCATCTCATTTTAAGGAATCCAAAACATCTCTAAATAATATTCATATCACCAGAGTGTTTATAATTAAACAATTCTTCTTTTGTTGGAGGAGTATGATTTCTTCTCCACTCATTCAAATGATAATGCTGACCTTTTTATGGAGTTAAAAATACCTTAAGTAGTAAAAATCTATACTAAAAAATTATTTTTAAATTCACCTTAAATTATATCCTATAGTTAGTAATTTCATTCACATTTTTGCCTTACCTTTAGAGACTTACAACTCATTTATTCTAACTATTACATCTCGAAGAATCTTTCCATCGAAGTAAAAAGTATAAATGAACTACATATCTTGTAAACAAACCCCTAAGATGTTTGTAGTAATTTCATTCTTCCTTGTTCTGTATTTAGGCTTATTAATGTCCAAGGCATTGACTTTAATATAAGTCCATCTAAAGCACTTAACCAATTCTATAGCTTTCAATAGAATAATGACACAAACATTTAATTATTTAGTTGCATTTCTAATAAATGTGCAAGGGATTTTAGTTTACCTTAAACCATTTTCATCTGAAGTCCATTGAATTCTCAAGTACAGAGTCTAGCTTCTTTAATAATATTGCTTAAAACTTTAAAACAAATTTTAAATCAATGCCAAATTGCCTACTCATTGTCTTACCAACTTCTAATAAATTCTCTCTTCATGATCCTAGTTTTTGTATGATGAAAAATGATGTACATAAAGATAACATCATATTCTCAACATTCACGTTGTTTATTGATGCAAGCCTATATCAATGCTTTAAAAGCATATTATACAAATTATAGAAGATAGACCTATCAATTATAATATGTTCAATGCATGCCATATCAAAATCAAATACCATTCTTCAAAAATTCAATTTCCTAATAAAATGCCTAACTGTTAGTTTTGAAGTTTTTACACTTTCTATTATTCATGTACATCTATTAATACCCTACAACCAAAATATTAATTATCACTATTATGTTATACATCATTATTGCCAATGCAAGAGCAATCACAATTATTGCAATTTGCTTTTCAGAAAATCCTTTCATCATGTGAACTAACAATATACAACGTAAAAATTAACTTAGTATACAAATTGGATGATGCAAGTAGGACATCAAGATATTGTATTTAAGGAGAGACATTTTGTATTTAATTAATCATTTCTCCTTCATTTTGAATGCATTGGAAAATTGACATTTCAATCATCAATAAAAATGAAACTGTTGATAGCATTGTTTCAAGGCAATGAAGACGACAACATTATGGTAGACTGTCAAGTTAGTCACCCACAAGAAAAACACCATCGCTGCTTCATGGGTTTTTATTTGCTTGTAGCCTTATCCTGTTTACTGTCATAAGTTTTCTCATCGTTAATACTATCTACTATTCCCTTAAACTCTTTTAGCTTTCTTATTCCTACTATGTTTTCTACTTTATGAGCAATTTGGTTAATCCATACTTTTTTTTAAACAGGAATGAAGTACATGTACAATAGTTTGAATTGAAAGTCTAATCAAAATTATTAAGTGGCATAGAGATTACGTAATTTCATAATTAAAATAATAAAGCATAAAAGTAAACATATGAAATAAAATAGCATATAAACATATGAAATAAAATAGCATATATATATATATATATATAAATCATTGATGCCTACCAATAATTGACACATAAATTAAGTATGTAAACATAACATACATTTTTTTTTTGTTGTTAAGCAAACATAAATACTTAAATTAGGATTTAAAATACTTCAACTTAACTAAATAACAACTACAAGTACTAATATAATATCTTACAGATATCATATATGGGTGGGCATATGTTTAGATATATTTTAGTGACCATTATCACGATGTTCCTTTCTTGTTTCTTTGGTTGGAAAACTACATTGGCAGATATCACATTTGTATTTCATTTTCACTACTTTATGATTCATCTGAAAAGAGAAGAATTGTTATATAGTAAAAATAAATGTTGTTTAAGTGGGTTATTCATATAAAATGAATGGATGTTATTTGAATTAGTAATAAAAGGAAATGAGTTGGCTAGTGTGATAAATAACTATCATTTAAAAATCATGTAAGTTTTGTAACTTCTCATCACTTCTTCTATAGATTTTGATGATCAATAATTAATATGACAAATTTCAATACACTAAACGAAGATTTATATTGTACTTAATATGATATTAAATATTAATTAACTCATAATAATACTAAGAATTTATTATTAAAATCTTTTTTGCACCACAACTCATAAGATTCAAAAAATCAAGCATTTTTTTCTTTTTCATATATGTGACATAATTTATATATTACCTCTTAACCTTATTTGTCACTAATCAAACTTCAATCATGTTTTTTTTTTAAAAAAAAAAAAAGAAGAATTTTATTGCATTGCCTGAGAAAACCAAGTACCCTGGCTAAGGAGAAATCAACCAGGCCTTGGGAATGCAATCCCAACTGAACATACATCACCATAGCACATGCTACTTCCTGTGAAAGAACCTTACAAAGATTATACAAAAACATGTCCACCTATGGTCAAACAACTCAA